TGAATGGTCCAATAAATATTATAGTCCATAGATGTTGATAATTATAATAAAGTTTAAATCAAAATCAAATTAATATTAATGCAAAAAGAAAATCAATTCAACACTAAGAATGACAATAATATTGAATATTTGTTCTTTAGTTTTACATTGGTTTAGATAATTAAATGCATAATCTAATTTTAATTTCCTTTAATATTTAGTCATGTAACTAATACGTATTAAACTTATTTTAGCATGATTTACTACTTTTAAATTAGGGATATGGGTCTGAAAAATACCTCAACTTTGGTCGGATTTGCTGTTGCGATACTAAACTTTCATAAGGACCTCTTACCTCCCTAGACTATTTAATACCGTCTTTGTTACCCCCTGAACTATTTAATAGTGTATTTTAAAGGTATATATGTGCCCATGTGGACACATTACTATTTATAATTTTGCATTATTTTTTATGTCCACGTGGGCAAATATATATATTTAAAATACAGTATTAAATAATCTAAGGAGGTAATAGGTCCTCATGAAAGTTTAGTATTGCAACAACAAATCCGACCAAAGTTGGGGTATTTTTCAGACCCTTACCCCTTTAAATTATGATCATTTTCATTATGACTTATTAATTTGCAATATTTGTTTTACGCGATTTCATTATTATTTTTTTGTTGGATATTTAGTGTCATTAATTATATCATATTTTGTGTTATTTTCTTAGGAAACACCTTAGATAGTTGTATTTTGGTAGGACTAAAGAAATATTTGAAATACAAATAAATTATATGTTTGTATGAATACTTAAATGGAAAAACCCAAAAATCCGAAAAAAATCCAAGGTTGAAAAACCCAAGTTTTATTGGTTTGATTTGGTTTATAAATTTAAAAATCCGACACAAATAGTTTGATTTGATAGTTGAAAAATCCGAACCAACCCAGCCATGTACACCCCTAGTACCACAATCGGATTTTTTCACTTCCAATATCACTCTATTTGTCAAAACTTTCTTAAGTTTACTACAGGCACAAAATGTAATAGAGAAAAACTACCACCCTCACTTCCTTATAACAATATTTGTTTTAAAAGATACTCACTAATGTCCAAATGAGAGAAATATTGGATGATGCAAATGGCATGCATTGTTTGTATCAGTTTGACAATGATTTATTTAGGCCAAATCCATCGGTGATCCCTTAAAGTTGGCATCAAATTTCACTTAGACATTTCAACTGGGCGATATTCATTTTAAACACCTTATGTAGGGTCTCGCTATGTCATTTTGACATTTTTTGACAATAAGCAAAAAGTTGAAGGAGAGTGTAATACACTCGTTGATGATGTGGCAAACAACCAATTAAATGATTACATGTGTAATTTTAAGTAAAAAATTACCTTAAAATCTATTTTGTAAATAAAATAAAAATATTATTCTAAAAAAAATCAATTTAACCCCCCCCCCCTCCCCGAAGGTAGTTGTCTTCTCTACTACACCCAACAATATATATATTTTTTTTTTATCAACTTTTAAATTGTTTCAGATCTCTTTTTTTTTTCTTTTTAGTGTTGTTTTGTGGGAAGAAAAGAGGGAGATGAAGAAAGAAAGAAAGAAAGAGAAAATAAATATGAAATATGACTATTGGTATCCATTTTTCCGGTAAAAAGGTGAAGGGAGGTGATTGTAGATTTAGAAAAGTAATACAATGAAGAAGAAAAATGACTTGAAAATGGATTTGATTAAAAAATTTGACCTCCATTGAAGGAGTATAAGTTTCAAAAAATGGTGGAAGGTGGTAGCTTGAAAAATGGAGAAGAAGAAGAGAAAATAAAAAAAATAGCTAAATTGAGTCTTTCACGCTCTATTGTTGAGTATATCACACTCACTTTGACATGTCAGTAAAAAGTGTCAAAATGACACAACGGGACCCTACAGGAGGTGTTAAAAATTAACATCACCCAGTTGAGGTGTCTAAGTAAAATTTAGTGCCAACTTTATGGGGCCACCGATGAATTTGACCATTTATTTAAGGCTTTTTTTATATATAGATGTACTAGTCTCTTTGTATGAGTATTCCAAACAAGGAATAATTCAATGTTATGGTATTAGATACTTTGCAATGTACAAAAACAATAAACTATTTGGGATCTGCTCGACATGAGAAGTGAATCATGTCATACGCACGCAATCCTTTAATTTGATTGCAATGGGAATACATTAGAGGGAGATATTAGAGTTGATTTATTTACGCAGCCTTGCCCTTGAAATGCAGGTATTAATTTTGCAGAGATTGTAATGCATAGATTGTTTATGAGCTAATTAAGAATGAGGGGTTGTTCTGCGGTCATTAATAATGTAAAGATTGTTATGCATGGATTACTTATTTTGATGGAATAGTTTTGCCTTTAAATAGCAAATACCTACATTGCTAATTTAGTAATTGAAATTACATAAAACTGAAGGTAGAAAATGAACAAGTCAAATTTGGAGAAGTTTGAGTAAAATTTATTTTGTATCGTATAGGAAACAAACCCCATTTATGTATGTGCTCTCGATATAAATAAAGAAGATACTCTATTCCATTACATACATGGATAAAACTGAAAAACAAATCCAATCAGTCTTCAAATCTTGAATATGCATGTAAAGTCAATAGATATTAGATAAACATATTATACTGTAACACCCCAAAATATTTTAAGCCCAAATTAGACCTCAAAATGATCAGAAAGAACCGATATCAGTAGAAGTGGGGTTTTACATATCCTTTCACAAACTGTGAAGGGAACCACGGGCCGTGATGGGATTCGTAGAATAGAGCTCATGAATTGAAAATTTTATAAGGACCATGGAAGCTTTCACAGGCTACAGATAGATCCGCAATACCCAAACTCCAGACTCTAGAATTTTTGTCTTTTACGGGAACTTGTTCGGGCAGTATACAGTCCTATGGACTATAGAAGGGTTCACAGAAGTTGACCCTCAGAACTCAGAGTTCCTTTCCATTTACAAGCACTTTCACGGACTGTGGAGTGATCTACGGCAGTGGAAGGCGTATGTAGATGACCCCCGTCAGTTTTAAGTCAGGGTTATCTCGGTCTTTTGTTACTCTTATAATTCCTATACTTTATCGTTTTGGGCTATTCTAAGTGGGATTAATTGATTCCTAGCGACCCTAACCCCTCTGTAACGACTCGGAAAATGATAGGTTAAGCAAGAGCCTATGACTTTGCGTTGACTTTATAATGAGGTTCTATGAGGGGTTTTTATGTAATTTCGTTTTAATTGTGTTACATCCGACAATTTAAAATGAATATGAAGTAGCTTGAAATTGGAAGTAGTCACTTTTGGAAAAAGTTCAGAACCTGGAAATTTGGTTAAGTGTGGGAAATCAGTGAGTTTTTGGCCAACTTTGAGCAGTC